CAGGAGAGGACTCTTTAAAGTAGAGACAATACATACTGATATACACCTGAACATCAGCAGGAGAGGGACTCTTTAAAGTAGAGACACTACATACTGATATACACCTGAACATCAGCAGGAGAGGACTCTTTAAAGTAGAGACACTACTACTGATATACACCTGAACATCAGCAGGAGAGGACTCTTTAAAGTAGAGACACTACATACTGATATACACCTGACATCAGCAGGAGAGGACTCTTTAAAGTAGAGACACTACATACTGATTACACTGAACATCAGCAGGAGAGGACTCTTTAAAGTAGAGACACTACCTACTGAGATAACATGAACATCAGCAGGAGAGGACTCTTTAAAGTAGAGACACTACATACTGATAGACACCTGAACATCAGCAGGAGAGGACTCTTTAAAGTAGAGACACTACATACTGATAAAACGTCTGAAACCAGCAGGAGAGGACCTCTTTAAAGTAGAGACACTACATACTGATATACACCTGAACATCAGCAGGAGAGGACTCTTTTAAAGTAGAGACATACATACTGATATACACCTGAACATCAGCAGGAGAGGACTCTTTAAAGTAGGAGACACTACCTACTGATATACACCTGAACATCAGCAGGAGAGGACCTCTTAAAGTAGAGACACTACTACTGATATACACCTGAAACATCAGCAGGAGAGGACTCTTTAAAGTAGAGACACACATACTGATATACACCGAACATCAGCAGGAGAGGACTCTTTAAAGTAGAAGAGACACTACTACTGATATACACCTGAACATCAGCAGGAGAGGACTCTTTAAAGTAGAGACACTACATACTGATATACACCTGAACATCAGCAGGAGAGGACTCTTTTAAAGTAGAGACACTCCATACTGATATACACCGAACATCAGCAGGAGAGGACTCTTTAAAGTAGAGACACTACCTAACTGATATACACCTGAACATCAGCAGGAGAGGACTCTTTAAGTAGAGACACTACATACTGATAACACCTGAACATCAGCAGGAGAGGACTCTTTAAAGTAGAGACACTACATACTGATAAACAACCTGAACATCAGCAGGAGAGGACTCTTTTAAAGTAGAGACACTACATACTGATATACACCTGAACATCAGCAGGAGAGGACTTTTAAAGTAGAAAGAGACACTACATACTGATATAACCTGAACATCAGCAGGAGAGGACTCTTTTAAAGTAGAGACACTACCTACTGATTACACCCTGAAACATCAGCAGGAGAGGACTCTTTAAAGTAGAGACACTACATACTGATATACACCTGAACATCAGCAGGAGAGGACTCTTTAAAGTAGAGACACTACATACTGATATACACCTGAACATCAGCAGGAGAGGACTCTTTAAAGTAGAGACACTACATACTGATATACAGCTGAACATCAGCAGGAGAGGACTCTTTAAAAGTAGAGACACTACATATGATATACACCTGAACATCAGCAGGAGAGGACTCTTTAAAGTAGAGACACTACATACTGATATACACCTGAACATCAGCAGGGATGAGGGACTCTTTAAAGTAGAGACACTACATACTGATATCAGCTGAACATCAGCAGGAGAGGACTCTTTAAAGTAGAGGCACTACATACTGATATACAACTGAACATCAGCAGGAGAGGACTCTTTAAAGTAGAGACACTACATACTGATATACAGCTGAACATCAGCAGGAGAGGACTCTTTAAAGTAGAGATATGATATGAATCTCCCTGCTGTGGAATGACCTCTGATCAGCCTCAGCTCCATGTACTTTTTAAAAGGTTAATACTACATCTGTCGTGTATCTATTTTTCAGCTGAGGGGTTTTTCTGCCGTATTGATTCTCTTCCTGACGCCAGCAGCTAGTTTCCAGCCGGCTGTAGTAAAGGCTGAGGACATCACGCGTTTCACTGTCAGTGTTGTAAAACAATAATTCAAGTTATAAAGCCGGTCCAAAATCCACCGAGGAAGCATCTTCATCCGATCATTTATTTCCTGGGTTATTTATTGACTCATCACGAGATACACAACAAGTTATGAGTGAGCACAAACACGTGTGTTCAAGTAAACAACATTTTTACATTAAGTTAACATTACATTGAAATATTGCATTGATTCACATCAGCTGAGACCATCAGACGTTTCATTATTGCATATTTAATGTTCACACTGTTGGAATTAGACTATAGTTGAAAAGCTTTGACAATCTTCTCTTTATGGCGTCATCCTGTGTGGAGAAAATAAAGCATCACCTAGCGTGACCTGCTTACCTTTTAGCATCTCATTCATAAAAGAGGCACATATTCCTTTCAACTGTTAAAGTGTAACTTGTATTGCTTTAACTTGGTCGTGTCCCTGCTCAGGGTTCAATTTCATTTAGCTGCAGCTCACAATAAGTGCACAGAACCACGAGGGTGCACACTCAGAAAGCAAAACTCCTGCAGGTACATTAGCTTTTATTGAGATAAACACACATTTCTTCCTGTTCCCCCCCCCCCCCAAAACTTCTGGTAAAAGTCAGATTTGTAATTCTTTGTACAAAGGGAGATATATATTCTGTTAAATGTGACTTTTGACTGGGAGAAAAAGTGGAAATATCTTCAAAAACAGACGTAATAACGGGCCCTGAGAGTTTAACACTTAAACGTCACATCACAGAGTTCAGGAAATGTTACGAGCAGAATGAAGCCGCCGCCTCCTCCTCCTCCTCCTCCTCCTCCTCCTCCTCCTCCTCCTCCTCCTCAGTGATATCAGCGATGTCTCCTCAGAGACAGTTTCCTGCAGGGTGTGTGTTGTTCTCTCTCAGAGGGGATCAGGCCGTCCTCAGACCTCCTCCTCTCCTCTGAAGGTTTCCTGACCCGACAGGCCGCCTCCTGCAGGGGGGGGGGGGGGGAGAGGTAGAAGTACTCAGATCTTGTACTTGAGTAAAAGTAGAAGTACTCAGATCTTGAGTAAAAGTAGAAGTACTCCGATCTGGTACTTGAGTAAAAGTAGAAGTACTCAGATCTTGAGTAAAAGTAGAAGTACTCCGATCTGGTACTTGAGTAAAAGTAGAAGTACTCAGATCTTGAGTAAAAGTAGAAGTACTCAGATCTTGTACTTGAGTAAAAGTAGAAGTACACAGATCTTGTACTTGAGTAAAAGTAGAAGTACTCAGATCGTGTTCTTGAGTAAAAGTAGAAGTACAAACAGATCTTGTACTTGGAGTAAAGTAGAAGTACTCAGATCGTGTACTTGAGTAAAAGTAGAAGTACTCAGATCTTGTACTTGAGTAAAAGTAGAAGTTACTCAGATCTGTACTTGAGTACAAAGTAGAAGTACTCAGATCTGGTACTTTAGTAAAAGTAGAAGTACTCAGATCTTGTACTTGAGTAAAAGTAGAAGTACCAGAGTGTAGGAATACTCTGTTACAGTAAAAGTCCTGTATTCAAAATGTTCCTCAAGTGAAAGTAGAAAAGTATTCTCATCAAAATATAGTGAAAGTAGCGACAGTAAAAAGTAGTCATTGTGCAGATTGTCCATTTCAGAATAATATATATGATATGTTTTAATATGATTGATCAATGAAAGTGTTTCTCAAAGCTGGTAAAGGAGTGCAGCTAGTTTGAATGACTTTGTATACTGCAGGGTAGCTTGTGGATTTACTCCAGGTGGAACTAAAGTCTGATTTAACACTTGATTATATTTCACATCATTCATCCACATCTGTGAAGTAACTAAAGGGATTAAATACATGTAGTGGAGGAAAAATACACCATGTACCTCTGAACTGTAGTGGAGTAGAAGTACAGAGTAGCAAACAATGGAGATACTCAAATAAAATACCTCAAACCTGGATCAGCTGTTAGAGAGTGTTTGCATTCCTCTTCACATCATGCTCCCACATGCAGGAGCTGCTATCATGCATGTACACGGCCGGATTAATGTGAGATAACGGCCCCAGGGACAGATATGCAATAGCCCCCCCCCCCCCCCCCCCCCCCCCACCATCTGCAGGAGGAGCAGGAAAACACTTGCTGTGCTTTCTGTGGTGTTTTTACCTCTTTGTGGCCGCGGTGTGCACAGAGCAGCTGTTTCACTCCGCTCTGCAGCGTCTCCTCCTCACAGATCGGACACAACCTGTCCTCATCAGCCTGAGGAAGAACATATGAGACAACTTTTAATATCATCAGTGTGTGCCTCAATTTGTGTGAACATGTTGTTATTGAAGAGGTTTAATGCCAAAAGGCATGAAGGCAGCATCTCCCTGGTCCAATGGGATTACTCCATTATATTTAGGATTATGTCAGAAAATAATCTCTGAGTCAAACAAACATTCATGATGCTTACGCGTTTAGTTCAGCAGGATAATCTCTACATGTTAACATCACTTTAGGATTTCTGAAGTAAAAAGCTAATGTTGGGCTATAAAGGAACGACAGCACGGTCACATGACTTCACGTCACCACCGCTAAGCTAAAGGTGGCTAATGTTGGGCTATAAAGGAACTACAGCACGGTCACATGACTTCACGTCACAACCGCTAAGCTAAAGGAGGCTAATGTTGGGCTGTAAAGGAACTACAGCACGGTCACATGACTTCACGTCACCACCGCTAAGCTAAAGGAGGCTAATGTTGGGCTATAAAGGAACTACAGCACGGTCACATGACTTCACGTCACCACCGCTAAGCTAAAGGAGGCTAATGTTAGGCTATAAAGGAACTACAGCTCTTTGGATTTAACTTTAGCTTTAAATTTAGATTTAGCTTTAATGGTATATTTAGCTTTAGCTTTAGATAATAATTAATTTAATTGAATTGATTTAGTGCTTTTCAAGTCACAAAGACACTAGCGTTCCCCCCTGCTCACCGGGGCCTCTCTCCTCGTGTCCCTCAGCTGCAGCCTCCTCTCGAAGGACTCGGTGAGTTCTGGGATGGTGCTGATCCGGTTCTCTGCTACTGAAGTTTTGCACCAGCTGTTGTCGTCTGAGGAGGCCCGACGAGCTCTCTGGTGCTGCCTCATCTCCCCCCTCATCTCGCCTCTCATCTCCCCCCTCATCTCGCCTCTCATCTCCCCTCTCATCTCCCCCTTTTCCTCCCTCTTCCCGTGGCCTGAGGAGGAGGAAATGGCTGTTGCGTGGAGTCGATGCAGACTCATGGCGTCTAACTGAGACTGTGGATCAAACAGAGGAAGAGAAAAACTTCTGTTACATTAAAAACTTCCCTTGCATCTCGAAGTCATTGGTGATCATTGGGTTTTTTCATTTATTGTGTCTTGATATTTGTCTAATGTTGATGTTACACATGGAGCTGCTGTGATGCAAGTCACATTTCAGACTTGATCTGACCGTTAAAGTATTATCGTATCTTGTCATATCGTGTCGTGTCGTATCGTTATCAAGCAAACTAATACTATAAAATCACTACTTTGATTGCAGTGAGTTTTGGCAATGTTTGATTTCAAATGAAACAAAAACCTATATAAGTAATACATGTCGAAGTCAACTGTATTTGCCATAGGAGATTAAAACTGTGAGAGCATTAAAGCGAGACACTGCAGGCACAAACATGGTAAATATTGAGAGTTTGGTTTATTTAGCTTCCAGGAAATTCTTCTTCTATATGTTTTTAGAAACTGATGAATGTGAAATAGATGTTGGGAGCCTCCTTGGTGTAGGCTCAGTCAAAAAGTTTGATAAATAAATGTTCAGCTTTATAAGTGTTTGCGCAATAAGACGGTGGCCCTGAAGGTCAAAACACAACAATATTCAAAAAACTAACCACGCAATATTTCACAAAACACAACAGAACAAAACTTCAAAATAGAAAACTACAGCATTTCAAAAGACACAACAACAAGCAAAAGTAAACGAGGAATGCCGACATTATCTTAAAGGGCCCATGTCATGCTTTTCCGGTTATTACCCGTCCCCTTGTGTGTTATGAAGGTTTTTCTGCATGTGAACGGTCTGCAGAGTCACAAACCCTCAAAGTACACCCTGTAGCGAGTAAAACTCTAACACAGAGAAGACCTCGTTGGACATTTCTCTTTTTCCATTGTTTTCTTCCCGGGAACCAAGTGACGTAACGACGACCCCTCCATGGATTGGTCAAAATGGACCAATCCGTGGAGCCGTTACGCCTTCCTCACACACACACACTCAATCTTTTCTCAGCTGCAGCTCCGCCAATTTCTCCTCCCTGAGACGGCGGGACACGGCGAGGCTGTGAGTCGGTGTGTGAGCACACACACACAAACTCCCAGCCAGGCTGCGGGTGTGTGTGTTCGGGCTGGGATTCGCTGTGTCTCGCTGTCTCGCAGACGGCCACTGGGCTCACAGGGAGGGGGGGGGCAGGAGCTCCAACAAGACGTTTAGGACAGAGAGTGAATACACATACTACACAGAGATGCTGTATGAGAAACCAATGTGAGTTTGGAACATTGAACAATGTACATCTATTCTAGTAGACCTCAACAATGGAACTATGATCAGTAGAAATGGCCGTGACATGGGACCTTTAAACTGGAAAAAGCTAGGTTCCTATTGGACACCGATTCCTCGTCACTGATTGGATGCACTGTCTGTCAATCTAAACAAACTGAAATAATTCCCCTTCTTTTGAACTCAGTCCAGCCTACATTTCCCATCATGCCTAGCTCTCACTTATTGGTTCCACTTGGTCAGGAGTGAGTTTGCAAAAAAAGGAAGAGCATAGAAAACTAAACAATGATTATGGGATGTATCTGTGTATCTGTGTATCTGTGTATCTGTGTATCTGTGTATCTGTGTATCTGTGTATCTGTGTATCTGAGTGTCTATGTATCTGTGTATCTGTGTATCTGTGTATCTGTGTATCTGTGTATCTGTGTTTCAGCGTACAGAGGTTATTGGAGTTAATAAACATTGTAAAATACCTGCAATCTGCAAAAATATAAATAAGGTCATGCATTTTCTTTATAAACTGTTCATAACTTTTATAGATTTCCCACTCTGACACATTGGGTTTTTCTTCGTCAATGCATTACTATTTCGTCAATTAGTGTGTTGCTGCAGCTGTTCGATAACGTCAATGCAAACACTTATCGTACACATTTTAAAGGTCTCCTATCATGCAAAATGCACTTTTTGATGTCTCTTATACTTCAACATGTGTCCCCGGTGTGTCAGGGAACTCACGCAGCGTCAGCAAATAAAACCCTCTCTCTTTTCCTCCGTACCCAAATCTCTAAAAACGGGGGAACAACGGAGCTGATCCAGATTTGCGTCCGATATGACGTAATATCTGAAATGTGGACCCATGGCCCTATCAGAAACGTTGCTATCAGAAACAATGCCCGACTGTTTTGGACGTAATATGGTCGGTGTTTACATTAGCATCGCTAACACTCAGAGCTAACCTGTACTGGAGAGCATGTGTGTGAAGAAGCAGGAAATAAAAAGGAACTCACCTTGTGGTATAACCGGCAAGAGAGAAAGCCTTTGAGCTCCATACTGTTTCAGAGAGAATCCTTGATAATCCATGATATGGCGTTTCATCACGGCAGTATTTAGTTTAGACAGTAGCTGCCGGGTCCCGCATGAGCTCAGACCCCTCCCTTTTTAAAGCTTTATACCCCAAATCAGCACTTTAGAAACAGGAAGTGAAATAGAGGGATATGAGGCATGGCTAGAATGGGTGATCTGTTTGGTATTTTGAGCAAAACACTTCATAGACATGTTTTTTATATATTTGTATATATCTGAGACCTATGCTATTGCCTACAAATAGCATGATAGGTGACCTTTAAAGTATTTTTTAGCATTGTATTCATCTCATATTCTTTATTTATGTTAATTGTGTATTTATGGCTTTTATTTTTTATTTTCTCTCACTATGTCTGCACCAATTCATCTGAGCAAATATTTTTATATTAAAAAATGAAAATAAAATAAATTAAAGGTGGGGTAGGTAAGTTTGAGAAACTGGCTCGAGATACACTTTTTGTTATATTCCATGGAATGCTCTTAACATCCCGATAGCAATGAATATCTGAAGTGCTTTGACAAAAAATCCATAAAAAAATATCATCTGTGGAAGCCGTAGTACTGTAAAAAGCACGACCAATCATCTGAGCCGGCCCGGCTAAAGTAACTGGATGGCCTACCTGCCTGTCAGCCTTCCATCTGTGCACAAACTTATCTCGTGCCCTCATTGGTCATGTGCGCGTTCGTGTGTGTTGGAGGAGGGGCTCTGTAAGGAAGTGGCAGATTTTCTCTGGTTGTGTATTTTCAAATTCTAGCGATCTCGAGCCGGTTTCTCAAATTTACCTACCCCACCTTTAAGTGTGATGTTTTAAAAGTGTAGCTGCAGCTGTTTGTTAATGTCAATGCAAACACCTATCGTACACACTTTATAGAATTCTTTCATTGTATTCTTTATGTATGCTTATGCAGTACTTTATTTTTCATTTCATTTTCTCTCAATATGAGGAAATATCTTGTATTTAAAAACTAACTTTGCAACAGGAGTGTGATGTTTTTATCAAAGTATGTTGTGAAGTAAAAAGATATGATTCTAAACTGTATTAGAGTAAACATGTATTGTTTGAACTGTTTTAAGTAATCCCATATAGAAATGATATTCTCACTTACAACTCAATGACACAGAGATCCTGTTTCACACACACACAGCTCCTTTTCACCAGAGCGCACACACATGTTCTTTTCAAGGTTCAGTATGTTCTTTCTGGGCTCATTATATCTGTATACAATGTTTAATTGTCTGAGAGTAACAGTTTATGTGAAAGATGCCATGGGAAAATAAGGGAGTGAATACCGGTGCAGAGATAAGATTGACTTTGACCTTGTAGAACCTTAGAATCTCACGTTCTGGTCAGAACTCTGATTCGCTGTATTGAACCCGGCCAGAGGTGGATCCAACCAGTAAGGACACCTGGGGGAGTGAGCAGCTCACACAGCTCCTCCCCACGGACTCTCTGATTCGCTTCGGAGTAAAATGGGAAGGAAGAGTCGACACATCTCCGCCCCAAAATATGGATATAAATACTGTTGTTTTTGTATGTAAAAGTACTTCTGGTTTGTTGGAGGCTGGTCAAGAGACGTGTAAACCGCATCCCAAACCTGAAGTCTGTACTTCTCGTTTCTTGAAGGCATGGTCTGTCTACCTGTAAACAGCATCACAAGCCTGAAGTCCGGAGTACTCTGTATAACTTGTATATGTGTTTGGTTTCCTACCAGAGTAAACTCAGATAATTGTTATAACTTTTGATTCCGGTGTTTTCAATTCCTTTCTTTATTTAATAGAGATCAGCCTCATCCAACGAACGGCGCGTAGCAGAGGGGGTGGCTATCAGCCACCCCAATAGGTGTTCTGCTCCAACAAGTGGTGACCCCGACGTGATGAGTGCTTGTCTCTAGAAAGGAACACCGATAGCCAGGGGACGGAATCCAGTCCAGGGGGAGGACACAGAGATACTGTTGACAACTAAACCAAGCGCGCTATATACAAAAGGTGAGCAGACACCTGTTTTGACTATCAAAAATCTGTGATTGATTATACTAAAAAATTTAGAGTTGTCAGCAGCGTTCTCAGTGTTCTTAGTCACGGTGGGAAATGCAATACATATTCTAGTTGAAATAGATTAATAGTGCTTAGAGTCGGGTAGTTCAGTCCTGTACCTAAGGCACAAAAGTGCTTGTAAGAGGCGGGTAGTTCAGTCCCGTCCTACAACTCACTAGAAACGAACGCTGCAAAGCTGTAAAAGATGTATGGGGTAAATTCCCCGTAAGTCAAAATAACATTGATTAATACGGTTGGCTTGTAGTGCTTTAATTAAAGGCTGTGGGGGTGTAAAAAACAGATGGGTTAAATTCCCCGCAGATCATGATAAGATTGATTAATGCGGTTACCTTTCGTGGTGCTTTAAATGTATAAAATGGCTGTAATTGTTATATGGTGGGTGATAGAGGAGGAGAGAGACGCGACCTCCAACTAATTATTTGGAACGACCGAATCTCATCACAAAACTGCTGTGGGGTTAATCAGGCTCATTAAACGTGACGATAAAGAGATTTTGTTGACTGGGTTCCGACTCCTTGCCTGAAGCCGCAGCCGCCGAAAGGGGGTTGTAGAAGCTTGCTTCAGGAAGTCACGCTATCTGTTGAAATATACATCGCACAATAAAAATCTGCCTGACTGTACGGATAAATATATGTAAAACTGCAAACATAATTTAAGAACACCACTCTGTACACAGTACATACTTAGAAAATAAGTAGTACACGGAGATAGAATTCAGATAGTACGAAGTCATAGTCTGGAAGGCTGAATGTGACGATAAAGGATTTTTGTGGTTTGGGATTAAACTCCATGTAAGCGTCGCATCTCTAAAGAGGGGTGTCGAAGTGCGCTTAAAAACCGCAATTATCTGTTGGAATAAACATCGTACAAAAAGCCGGACAGACTGTATAAGGGAATAAACTCTGTGTGATTTTTTAAGTCAAATCTGTGTAATAATTAAGAAAAAATCTAGAAGTACTCCAGTGGAGACAGGTTTGCAGTATTAGTAAGAGGGGACAATTTCATTCGTGGTCAGCTGCTGCCCTCTGGTGGCGAACAGGGAGTGTTACAATATTCTGAAATATTACATACTGAAAATTTAGAATTAAAGACAATAATTGCCCAGTATATTAAATAAATACAAACGAACACGTATCAACATAAGTCAGATAATATAAACGAGGTCAATCATGGAAGAAGGCTGACATTTAATGCCTGATATATAAGTAATAATAATATATAATATATAACTGATGTATAAGGCTCGATATTTCTGAAAATAAGAACACCGTCAACAGCATTCTATTTCAGAAAAAGGGGGGATAGGATATACATCAGACAATATGTATGTGAGCTTATTACGTTTTTAAGAGACATTTATCTAGAATACTAGCTTTGGTTATTTTTTGTTTTGTTTTGTTTGTTGCTTTTAAGAGAAATTGATACATTTAAAATAATCTAGTTTTGGTTATTTTTTGTTTTGTTTGTTTGTTCCTTTTTTGTTCGGTTTTATTTTTATTTTTTATTTTATTTTTTGTTTATTGTTTTCTGCATAGTCTCTTGTCCACACTACAGTCTAGTTGGTGGCGGTAATACACCTACAAGTTGGTTTGCCAAACGCCAATAAACACTAAAGAAATAGAAGAGATGAGTTCAAAACCATATTTCCAGCAACTTAAGGGCTTGGTATGAGACTTCTCCACACAGGTTGCTGACGCCAAAGGGGGACCCGAGAAACACGAGGCCAACACAGCAGAGTTCGTCTGGCTGAAAGTCATCAGGCCTAAGTGACTCAACCCCAGATTTTCCGGCCCCTACCGAGTGACCCAAAGGACCTCCCATGCCGTCCGCCTAGATGGAAAGGGAGACAACTGGTACCACTGGAGCCAGTGTGCGGTCGGGAAAAACACCTGCGAGGACCCTAGACGACATCAGGACAGATCTGGCCCTCGTCAAGGAATTGGTTGATATAGCCGGTGTGGAACTTTGTCTGAACAAATCCATTTTTTGAGGAACTTTCAACTTTATTTTTATATCCCATAATTTAAGGGATTTGTATTTTTTATTCTACAGAACTATGTGTTACCAAAAGAGGGAAAAGTTTAATAATGTCTTTTCTAATTTCTGTGGCTACTTTTATTGCCATTTTGGTGACATGTGGTTGTTGTTGTGTGCCTTAGACTCATCAGTTCCACCATTGAGGGAAAAGCTGCCCCTTCCCCTTCGTACCGAATGCCCTTGTTGGCTTATGCGTCGGAGGGGGTAGAGTACGATGACTCAGCTGACAAGGACGAACTTTTTAAAAGCATATTTTATTCTCCCTCCACTGTCATAAGAAGTTGTTGTTGTGGACTGTTCCTAAAGGTTTAAAGTGCTCTAAATCCCAGCTTCTGATGGATTTATATAAATGTTGGGACAGACACAGTAGAAAAGAATGACAGTGGTAATGTTTCAAATGCTATATGTTGATCTCGTAAGGTGAGATCAAAAGAGGGATTGAAGTAAAAAGATATGATTCTAAACTGTATTAGAGTAAACATGTATTGTTTGAACTGTTTTAAGTAATCCCATATAGAAATGATATTCTCACTTACAACTCAATGACACAGAGATCCTGTTTCACACACACACAGCTCCTTTTCACCAGAGCGCACACACATGTTCTTTTCAAGGTTCAGTATGTTCTTTCTGGGCTCATTATATCTGTATACAATGTTTAATTGTCTGAGAGTAACAGTTTATGTGAAAGATGCCATGGGAAAATAAGGGAGTGAATACCGGTGCAGAGATAAGATTGACTTTGACCTTGTAGAACCTTAGAATCTCACGTTCTGGTCAGAACTCTGATTCGCTGTATTGAACCCGGCCTGAGGTGGATCCAACCAGTAAGGACACCTGGGGGAGTGAGCAGCTCACACAGCTCCTCCCCACGGACTCTCTGATTCGCTTCGGAGTAAAATGGGAAGGAAGAGTCGACACATCTCCGCCCCAAAATATGGATATAAATACTGTTGTTTTTGTATGTAAAAGTACTTCTGGTTTGTTGGAGGCTGGTCTAGAGACGTGTAAACCGCATCCCAAACCTGAAGTCTGTACTTCTCGTTTCTTGAAGACATGGTCTGTCTACCTGTAAACAGCATCACAAGCCTGAAGTCCGGAGTACTCTGTATAACTTGTATATGTGTTTGGTTTCCTACCAGAGTAAACTCAGATAATTGTTATAACTTTTGATTCCGGTGTTTTCAATTCCTTTCTTTATTTAATAGAGATCAGCCTCATCCAACGAACGGCGCGTAGCAGAGGGGGTGGCTATCAGCCACCCCAATAGGTGTTCTGCTCCAACAGTTGCCTGCTTTATTGTCAATGCAAACACTTATTGTTCACATTTACATTATTTGTATTCAAAATCGCAGAATTCTGAAATGTTCCCAAAATATCTCAATTTCAATTTCTTTTTTCATAAAATTCTAACTTTTTCACTTTTCTTTAATTCTTCTTTCGTGTTAAATATACAAAACATGCCTCTGTTTTTTACGTAGGACAATATCTTGTTTTGTGTCAATGTGAATACGTACAGTACACATTTTATAGTATTATATATAATAATACTATCTGTATTCATGTCTATGCCCTTCTAGCTTTTAACTGCATTCTCTCGAACTATGTCTGCGTTTTGCTCTCATTCACAAACAGATATTATCACACATTTGTACAATTAAGCCTTTTAGGAATCAAACTCCTGCTCTGCTGCACTTTAACCTGTCACCTGATTGTGTTGAATTTGCATTATCCTCATTTTAATGCACATCTCATCGTTGTACCTTTCATCTAAATGTATCTCATGTCTACTCTTTGCTATTTGAAGTTGGCTTGTAAGTCTTTTAACTGTCTTCTGTGTGATATCAATGTGAAGCACTTTGGACTACACTTGTTGTGTGAAAGGTGCTGTACAAATAAAGATTATTATTATTATTCTCCATGCCCACTCACCACGGTGGGCAGCGAGGCCCTCCTCTCTCCGGGGGTCTTGCTCCTCTTGAAGCTGCCCCTCTGCTCTCGAGTCCTTCCCTCCTCGGCCCCGTGACCCCAGTAGCTGCTCATCCACTTCATCGTCCCATCATCGTCATCGTCGTTATCCATTAAGCCGGGCAGCAGCCTCAGAGACATGATGGAGGACAGACCCTCAGAAACACACAAACTGTGAGACCCTGGAATAAAGGCTCCTATAGAGAGAGCCCCTTTGATCTGAGAACAGGCGGTAATGAAGAGAGGTGTTAGCATGGAGGCAGTGTTGGTGGTGCTGGGTGCTTTTAATCTTTCCATTGCAGGGGGGGGGGGGGGGTGGGGGGGGGGGGGGGGGGGTGATACTCTATTTCCCATAGTTTCCACTGGCTGGCTCCATCAAACCAGTCGATAGAGAGGAGTCTGAGCCTCAGGCCTGACCACAGATCAGATTTATATTCATCATAAAAACTACAGTACGGGGTTTCATTATATTTAGGATTTAACCAGGGTTAGGTGAGTACAAAAAGAATATTACAATATGTACGTAAACATCAGGAGTGAGGGAAGGATGTGCAATAGCAAGATAATAAAATAGAATAAATGAACAAAATAAACAAACGTATTAAAACATACTAAGTAAAAGTAAAAATATGCAATACACAGGAATCCGCTTTGGTTTCAAGACCCTGGTTCACGGAGGATACCAAAAAAGTCCTCGAAAGACAAGGTCAAAAATATAAGTTTCGGCCCAAACTAAAAGGTACCGTGGGGTCAGATTATAATTTTCCAAAGGGGGGTTCGTTTAGCGTGAAACACTTGAAATAACTAAACCAGGGGTGTCAAACTCAAATACACAGTGGAGTCATTTCTTATGAGTACATTTCTCCACAGGCCAACAACAGCTTCAAATTTCCCTCATGAACAAACCAAACATGCCCTGTTGTCGTGAGAGAAAAAGTGCAGAAGGAAACATGTGAACTCAGTGTGCTGCTCTGTGATGCTAGTTCAGATACTTGGCATCTCATCTTGGGTGCAAGTTCATCAATGTTTGGGGTCAGGCTAACCCTAACCCTAACCCTAACCCTAACCCTCTGTAGCAGGGGTGTCAAACTCAAATACACAGTGGGCCAAAATAAAAAAATGGGTACTAGTGGAGGGCCGGACTGGTTCAATGTTTATTGCAGAACGTATTGAAATGAACTTATTGCACATATTAAACCTGGAACTAACAAAGCTTCAATGATTGCCTATAAAAACAACATTAAACATTAAATAATCAGTTGCATTCATTTCTTATGGCTCGATCTGCAGCTGAGTCATTTCTTATGAGTACATTTCTCCACAGGCCAACAACAGCTTCAACAAAACTATTCCCCTCAAAGAACAAACCAAACATGCCCTGTTGTCGTGAGAGAAAAAGTGCAGAAGGAAACATGTAAACTCAGTGTGCTGCTCTGTGATGCTAGCTCAGATACTTGGCATCTCATCTTGGGTGCAAGGTCATCAATGTTTGGGGTCAGGCTCTGAGCTGAGGAGACCCTCAGGATGGAGTGAAGGTGTGCGTGCAATATACCGGAGGGCCAGATCTAATAGGAATTAGAAATTATCCTGCGGGCCAAAATTAAATCCACCAAGGGCCTGATTTGGCCCCCGGGCCTTGAGTTTGACACTAAAGGATAAGTTAATAAAGAAAGTGAAGTCATAGAAAACTATTTCTGCTAAAAAGTGATATAGATATACAAAATAAAGGCTAAATTAAAATGCTATTTAATTGTTTTTATAGAATAAGAACTATAAACGTGCACTTTTTACTTAAATATATAATATGTATATCATAATATAGTGTATATACAATGTGTAAACATATACGACATCCAAACGACTTTAGGTTGTCTGCAATAAGAGTCTGTAACCCAACAGCTGGTCACAGGCCATGAACATATTAAGTACATTAATCAATAAATAATCCCTCCCACCAACGCCTGCAGAATAAAAACAACTAAAACCTGACCTCGATTTCCCAAAAGTGATTGATTGCATCGACTCAGCTGCAAAACGGTGTCATGCATTTATAGATTTCTGCCTGTTTGTTTTTTTACTTTTGTTTAAAAGTTAGATTTATTTTCACAGTGATTTTAGATTGTTGATCTGCAGAGATTTCACTTTCAAAGTATCTGATTTATAAAGTATGAGGGTGTACTAATACCTAAAATGGCTCAGATATAAAACTAAATGTGAAATCAAATCACCGCTGAATGCACTTTAATACAGGGGTATCTCCTCCTGCACTTTATATGTCGTTGCTACACACTGCCTTGTGCTCATGCTCTTTCTGCATATCATGCATTTCTGTTTGCCATGTATATAAATGTTCTTATATGTTGTATGTGACGGGACTACGGATGGAAACTAGCTCAAAGCTCAAATCCGGCTCATTTACATTCAAAAGCATGATTTTGTTTAAAATGTTCATTAATGTGCACTGTCCCGGTTCAAATAAACAATTAAATGAAATGAAATATAAACGTACAAAAATCCTCAGGATGTATTTATTATTAATAATAAAGAATCCAAATATAAAAAAAGGGAACATGAGGAAACGCTGTATTTCAAACATCAATTCCTAACAGGATTTCTAATAGACAATGACACAAAGAAATGCATTACATGTATATTTTATTTCACATGATAGGAGCACAGACCGGTCTGAGACCAAACAAACATACCCTGAGCCGGCTGAGCCAACAATAGCAGCTCATTATCAGTCTTTATTCAAAAAGGGACCTGGCTAATTACTGGAACAACAGAGACAGTGAGGAACAGCTGCAGGATCAGACCTCCTTACACTAACCTCTGTCAGTAACCCTGCAGAACACACACACACACACACACACACACACACACACACACACAACACACACACAACACACACACACACAACACACACACACTCACACACACACTCACACACACACACAAACACACACACACACACACACACACACACACACACTCACACACACACACACACACACACTCACACACACACACACACACACACACACACACACACACACACACTCACACACACACACACACACACACACACACACACACACACACACACACAAACACACACACACACACACACACACACACACACACACACACTCACACACACACACACACACACTCACACACTCACATGAAGGTTACTGTCTCTCTGTGCGGGTCGCAAAATTGATTTTATGGTTTTTCAAAACAAGCCACAGAGTGATGGATTATTCTAAAGGGCAGAAACATGTTGTGACCTCCAGAGACCCGGCTTTGTTGTTCTGACATCTAACATCTACTCTAACTGTTAACGATCAGTAGGATCTGATAAAGGGTTCATATTACTGAATAACACCAGAGTTTAACTGCATATAAAGGTATTTAATTCAACTTTCGAAGATTTCTGTGCAAAAACAAAGTTAGATTTCTTTCTATGCAATTTTAACATTAAATTATAACATTTGACACTGAAATATATATTTTTTACAATTGAACCCTTATGTTGTGTCCGGGTCTCCCATGACCCGTTTCAAGTTCAAATGATATAATAACTACGCTCTAGTTTTTTGTATCGGAACAAGGCTTCAGGATATCCTCCACAACAGATATATAAACACTACAAAACTGATTCTGACCATTTTAGCCAAGTCTGAAGGTCTCTAAAAACGAAAGTGTATCATTTGGTGTTCGGGTCGGGGGAGACCCAGCAGAATTGTTTTGGCTGACTCAAGGTCAAATGTGGCCCAATCAAGATTCATCTTTGACTTTAGACACCCCTCCCCCACCCCTTCATCAACTGTAACAATAATGTTTCGCAACATGCACCTGGTCTCCCCTCCCTCTGCCCCCCCCCCCCCCCCACGGGAACTCCACCTTTCTCAAAGAATATGTACACTAACACATGAACCTGAACTCACACATGCACATGTGCAATATGTGGTGTAATGTGTTTTGGGCCATAACATTAAAGGGGACCTATCATGCAAAATGCACTTGTGTACGTCTTTTCTACATGAATATGTGTCCCCGGTGTTCCAGGGAACTCACCAAGTGTCAGAAAACACAACCCTCTCTATTTTCCTCCATACCCAAATCTCTAAAAAAGGGGCTGCAACGGATCTGATAAAAACTGATCCAGATTTGAACACTGTCCTGACGTCAGGACGGTGGCGCGGCTATTGGGCCAACTCCACCAATCAGGAGGAGACAGCCACGGTCATTGCCGTTCGAAAGCGCTGGAGACGCTGTAGTACATATGCCAGGCCTGTAGATGGTGCTGTTCTCACTGAATCTGCCCAGATCTAGAAATTGTCAAATTGAGCAAAATGAGGCATGGCTAAAATGCATGATCTGTTTGGTATTTTGAAAAAAAAAAAGTATAAATATGCCTTATATAGGTATGGCCCTACACTATATTATTATAATATAGCATGATAGGTCCACTTTAAATTACAACAGGATTGTACAGTTATGAATGCATTATAAGTTAGTTATGATGTAGTTAAAACAATATTGGATGATAGTCATTATTTTGTTGTGTTTTGGACTGAGATAAATCATGGGTCAAAACTGACCCGCGAGCACCATGAACGGTAACAGCTTTCGAACACAACACAAGGGTTAAAAGAAAAATGTTGACACTACTTAAATGGTAGTTTGAACGTTTCATTGCAGAACTGAAAATAATATTATTATTATTATATGATCATTTTATTAAATACAAGTATGTGCTTACATTAAGAAATGTTTTAATGTAATTTAAGTGATAAGTCAGATTTCCAAAATAGAGAGAGAATGATGTATGTTTGCAGGAATGGGTTTATAGAGAAAAGCAGCAGCACTGCCACCTAGTGGATTCAAGTGAACCTGCACCACTGCCAGAAATATTATAAATAAAAAAGGTAGGATTAGAAAGTAACAAAAAAGGAAATACCTCCCAAAATGTACTTAAGGACAGTATTGCAATATTATTCTTCTTGACTATTTCACAGCAACAACAGACCATTACTGTTTTCTATTGGCGAGCATAAAATAAGGGCCTCAGCACAGGTTACCATGACGTAGAATAGTATGAGCAGATGTGTTGATAAAGACAGGAATAGCGTTAC